TACATACCCCTTTGGCATGCTTGAACTCCTGATTCAAGCTACCTGCTAATGAAGCAGAAGACGGTGTCTCATGTACTGGCATCCCAGGGTTTCCCAACACCTAAGCCAGCCCTGGCCTTTGTGGACATTGAGGAGTGAATCAGTACAAGAGAGTGCTCAGTTTCTGTCTGTCATACAGACACAATGATTCATTAAAAAAAAAAAAAAAGTGAGTTAGTGTTGTGGTAAGTCAGGGTAAGAAGCTGCCTGTGATGCTGGTGGCCCATATGACATCCCCCCCACACACACACCATTTGTGTCCCAGCTGCTCCACGTCTGAGCCAACTCCCAGCCTGGGAAAGCGGTGGAAGATAGTCTAGGTACTAGAGTCCCTGCACCTGCATGGGAGATCTGGATGAAGTTCCTGGCTTCTGGTTTCAGCCTGGCCCACTCCTGGCTGTTGCAGCCATTTTGGAAATAAACCAGAGGACAGAAGACCTTGCTTTCTATATCCCTCTCTCTGTACTCTGCCTTTCAAATAAATAACTCTTTTAAAAATTCTACTCTGAAATTTAGGTGCTATTATTCCATACACATTTTAAAAATGAGTAATTGGAAGTTAGCAAGTAGGCAGTTTTCATTCCACTTGATTCAACTGTGCAGATACCAAATCTAGTAAAAACATGATCTCCTTGAATATTCTATCTTCTCTACACATGACCTGACATGCACCAGTATACGACCTCAACCATAATGGAAAAATACAAGGCTGTTCAAAAAATGTTGGCGGAAAAATGGAATGAAAATATAAGTTTATTTTGGTGCAAAAATTCTTTGAAATCCACGTATAGTCTTTTTTTTCCACATTATGTATTTTCCATAAACTTTTTGAAGATTCCTTGTATATGACAATATATTAAAAAATCTGGAAGAAAATACTTCAAAATATTAAAAGATGGTTAATTATGGAGATATATTTAAATTTTTATCTCTATATATTTTTTCTATTCCAGACTTTTGACTGTATGTGTCTAGTCTTACATTATTCCTTTTATTCTTTATTTTTACATCCATTTTGCACCTGCTGTCACACATGCCCACCCTTCACCTTCTCCAGCATCCCTTACCAGGGAGATACATTTGTTGCAACAGTGGGCCCACCTCCCTATCACCTGAATCCATACTCTGGTTGCTCTTTGGATATATAGAGAACACTATTTTTTAAAAAAGATTTATTTTTTTATTACAAAGTCAGATATACAGAGAGGAGGAGAGACAGAGAGAAAGATCTTCCGTCCAATGATTCACTCCCCAAGTGAGCACAATGGCTGATGCTAAGCTGATCCAAAGCCAGGAACTTCTTCTGGGCATCCCACGTGGGTGCAGGATCCCAAAGCTTTGGACCGTCCTCGACTGCTTTCCCAGGCCACAAGCAGGGAGCTAGATGGGAAGTGGAGCTGCCAGGATTAGAACCAGTGCCCATATGGGATCCTAGGGCATTCAAGGTGAGGACCTTAGCCGCTAGGCCACACCACCGGGCCCCTGAGAACACCATTTTGACAGAAGGAATGTGGTTCCAGAATGCTCTGGGTAGGCCAATACTGCCCTCTTCTCATCACCTCCTTCCCATGTTTCCATTCCACTCACTGTTGCTTGGCAGTCTCCTTCCACATGGCTTCTCTATTTTTTCCCCTCTCAGTGTTTTTGCATCTGCTTTCTCCCATCCTCCATTCCTTCCTCCTCATCGTTCCCTTTCCTCTTTTTTTTTTTCTTCTTCCTCCTCCTCCCTTTACCTCACCCCTTCTCTTTTCCAAGGTCTTCCCAGCCTTCTTCCCCCAGATCATCCTCCTTGCTTGTCTTCTCCCCTTTCTGGGGTTTTTAGAAGATCAGCATTTATAAGGAAGAAGAACCTCCATAGGTTTTAGGCTCAGAGTGGAGTCCTGGGAGGGTAAGACTCCTCAGGAGCATAGATGTGCTAGAAATCCCTGGCTGGGGAGGATCCTTCAGGCTGCGGGAGGCAGCCAGCGCGCCTTGAGGGCTTTCTGAGGCCAGCAGAGGAGCTCTAACACCATTGGGGCTGGGGACTGCTGTCTGCTGGTGCTGGCAGTCACTTAGAAAGGACGCTGACCTTAGTTGATTTGAGCTCCTGGATTGAATTAGTCCTGGTTGTATAATTGACTTTGATATGTGGCCTTTGGGTCTGAATTGGGTTTAATAAGATTTAACTGCTTCAAAGGGCTTTATAAGAATTCATTTTATCCTTCAGATTTGATTTCTGACGCTACCTACTTTGGGATGCCTTCTTGAGCTTTGATGCTCCTGCTCCAGTGCTCCCACCTGGCCATGGCTGAGACACAGTTGTACAAGTTGTCCCCACTGCAGCTCATCCTTTCTGTACAAAATCTTTCCCTGATGGCCTCCCTTCAGGACTCTTGAGGCCAGGCAGGTGTCTCATTCATGTTTGTATCCCAGGTCTACCACAGACCAGAAGCACAATTAATTGAGGCAGCAGCTGCTCAACAGTGGCTTTTAAAGGTTACGTTCATAGTTAACATGGAGTAAATTCTGTAGCAAACACTACAGCTACATTGTTTCACTCACTAGATACTTCAGGAGAAAAGTGCTTTTATTATCCCCCACTTTACAGTTACTGAGAGTAAAACAAATTAATTTGATACAAGGTCAACTATGAGTGATAGAATTTTTTTTTTTTTTTTTTTTTGGTTTTAAGATATAGGCTCTTACCCAACCACAGATTAAAAAAAAAAAGTTTGGATGAAGAATGCTTTTCATTTCCATGGCTGAATGAGTGACTGGAAGTATCCAACATTAATTTACAAAGAAAAGTATGGTAAGTCCTAACTCACTGATGTTTCTAAGTTCTGAATCATTTCCTCTTTCATTCTTTTTTTTTTTTAACAAGGTGCCTGCTATTTATTTATTTATTTATTTATTTTAGGATTTTCAAATTTATTTGCAAGTCAGTTACGGCGGTGGGGGAAGGGAGAATCTGCTGGTTCCCTCTCCAAATGGCCGAAATAGCCAAGGATCCAGGAGCTTCTTCCTGGTCTACCAGTGGGTACAAGAAAACAAGCCTTGGGCCTTGCTCTGCTGCTTTTCCAAGTGCATAAGCAAGGAGCTGGATAGGAAATGGAACAGTCCAGTCTCCGACTGCGCCAATATTGGAGGCCAGCATCGTAGGTGGTGGCTCAGCCCAGTGCACTACAATGTCGGCCCCCTTCTTTCATCCTTTTAAAGAAAGTTTATTTTGATTTCATCGAAAGGCAGAATGACACACAGAAACAGATTTTTTTCATCTTCTGTTGGTTTGTGCCCCAATGTCTACAAGGACTGAGAAAACCAAAACCAGAAGTATAACTTTATGCTCGGTGGGGACCCATCTGTTTCAACCATCAACCTCTGACTCCAGGAGCGCACATTGGCAGGAAGCTGGATTCCGAAGCTGAGAGGGACTCAGCTAAAAGATGTAGGAGTGGATCTAAACGGGGCCACTGGACTTGGTCCTTCGCTGTGATCCTCTCTGACACTATGAGGCAAAGCGTGCGAACTCTTCTGGCGAGGGCCAATGCAAACAAGAACGGAGTGCTTCGGAAGAAAGGGAGCTAACGTTTTACCGGTTCTTGTGACCATTCATTTGTAAATCGACAGATACGGAGCACCTGCTGCGAGCTAGAGACAGCTGCAAACAGACCCAGGTGGGCTGTCACTGCGGGGGACGGCGTAGCGGGAACCTGGAATATGCCTGACACTGGGCGAGTTGCTGACATTTCTAGGCAATCACAGCAAGCCTATGGGCTGCGGAAGGGGGTCGGCCCTTGGCCTGATACAGAAAAAGAAACCGAGGCATACGTAGGTGACTACGCACAGGCGGAATGGTTAGGATTTCCAGGCTATTAGCCACAAAGCTGTATTGTTTCCTTTCTGTTGCTTTTTTGGTATCCTAATGTTTCAAAGAGGCCGGATCCAGTCTCCATCCAGATCCCCCCACCACCATCTCCCAAGTGTAGGGATTGGCACTGCACCCCGGCAACAGCCTCGTAGAATAAATTAGAATGCCTTGGAATTTTTGCCAACGCTTTTTCTCTTCCAAAGAATTCAAACTGTTCTCCACGTAATTCTCAGAGATTTGTGAGGAGTTCCATCCTCCAGGGGAAGGATGAAGCGCCTGGGCCGCGGGTCACTTCACACTGGCCGGGGGCACCCGGTAGATGGCGCTGTCTTAGTAGCCACCAGCTGGCTGGCCCAGTCCCCTGGGCTCACCGCCTCAGCCGAAAGCTTCCCGGCCCTCCCTCACTCCCTTCTCTCTCCCCCTCCCCACGGAGCCCGGCCCACGTGACCTCCAGGCGGCCAATGGGCGAGCAGAGAGGGCGAGCTGGTCCCTGTGGCCGCCATTAAAGCGAAGGGAAAACCCGTGAATTCGGATTAAAGGGGGAAAAAAAAAAAAAAAAAAACACCGCCCGCTGGGCCCACAAAATGGGGGAGACTACGGCGTCCAGGCGGTGAGGCCGCAGGAGAGCAGACGTTAAGGCCGGCGGGGCCGGGGGTGAACGACACGAAGACACAGGCAGGGAATGGTCTAAAGCCCGCAGACACCGCCAAGCAAGCTCGGCCACTGAGGAGACTCTGGGCTCTAAGGACGTCGCCGCCGCCGGGCCGGGGGCCCTGAGCTCGGCTCCCGGTGCTCGCCCTTTCCCGCCCCGCTCCGGGCTCCCGCGCGCCGCGGGGAGGACCGTCCAGGGCTCGGACTCTGCCGCTCTCGGACTCGATTGGGGTTATTTATTGTATTAATTTATTATTATTATTATTTTTTTTTCCTTCTCTCTGTCTCGTGGAAGGAGCATATACATCGCCTCTGTCCCTTCCGAGAGGGACGAGCGTCCGCCGCGAGCTCCGCAGTCCGGCCGGCCGGGCGAACGCGGCGCGGCCCTCCCGCCTCCGGCCCTCGGCCCCCGGGCGGCTGGGTGCCGGGCCGGGCGGCGGGGGCTGCAGGCGGCGGGGGTGGGTGGGTGGGTGGGGAGGGCGGGCGGCCCGGCGGCCTCGTCTTCCACCGCCTCCCCAACCACCACCCCCCCCGCCCTCCCCGGTGTCTGTGTGTGTGAGTGTGTGTGTGTGTGTTTCTCTCTCTGGTCGGAGGCGGCGGTAATGGCGGATGGTGGGTTGTGGCGCCGGCGGCGGCTGCTGTGAGGGACGATGAGTTCCTCCTTCGTGCCGAACGGGGCCAGCCTGGAAGATTGTCACTGTAACCTGTTCTGCCTGGTGAGTGCCGGGAGGGACGGGGGAGGTAGGGGACCGGCGGCGGGGGAGGGGGCCGGGTCGGATCCCGATGCCCGAGTGCCCGGGCTAGGCCCCAGCGCGAGCCGGTGTACCCTGCGAAGCTCGGCTGCCAGCGCCGGGGACCGCGTTGGCTTCACCCACCGTCCCGGGCTCCGCGCTCCCTGCTCCTGTTTCGGACTCTTTTTTGTTTGTTTGTTTCCACCGTAGGCTCTTGTCTTCAACTTGGACCCCTGATCTGGCAGGATACTGACTTAATAATCCCCCCCCACCCCCCGCCGTGTTTCTTGCTTAACTGTTGCTTTTCTCGCGAGTGACGGTGTGTTGCTTCTTCACACTTTCCATGCGTGCCCTTACTTCCACCAAAGCCTTTGGGTCTCTGCTCCTACCCCCTCATAAACAGGACCCTAGAACTTGAGCATTAAAAACGTCTCTTTGTGATTATTATTATTATTATTATTATTTTCGTTTGGTTTGCACGAGTCAAACTGACGCAGGGTTACTTTCTTCCTTGGGTGACTTCAGAGCTTTGTGTTTAAAAAAAAAAGACGAGTAGATGTTGTTTCAGATGCCTTCTTTTTAAACTTTGAAAACAGTTTGCCATTTTGACAATTTCTAGCCATCTTGCTTTTATTAGAACATTATGTTTGTCTTGAGAGTGGAAGGACTAATGGAGGAGGTGCTGTGGTTTTGCACTAAAGGTTTCTATATTTGTCCGTTTCACTTGCTGTTTTAAGACTATGTGGAGCAGCCTACTCCTTGTTTGATTAAAAAGTCTGGGCGATTTGGATCTAGGGAATGACATCGCGTAGAATCGCCCAGGTCTGGTGGCACCCAACAGTTAAGACTTTGATAAGTATCAAGTGTCGGTAATAATAATATTGACCTGAAGTAGGCAGTAGCTTAGGTTCATCAATGACCTGAAATTTGAGTGACTTTCTTATTTTCCCCTGTACTGTGTGAAATATTAAGAGTAGATGATAGGTAAGTGATTTAAGTGGGCGGAGCACAAGTAGCTGGCCAGCGTGATCTGCCAGTCAGTCATGTTTCAGCAGTTTCATTTTTGGCACCTTATGCTTTGCATCTTTAAAAACTTAATGAATTCCTTTTGTCAGATTTCTTTCATAATACTCATTGAGGTGTTCTAATGTGCCTCCCGCTAAAAAAATACATTTATCAACATCTTGTGAGATATAGTAAGGCAAACATGAGGTTTTTGCATTTGTGTCTTCCCAACTCTGTTTGTTTATGTTACCTTTAGGACTAGATTCTTTGATGATAGCCTAGTCCAAATCTGACAGTTCTTTGTGATAATTATTTAACTTGTCCTAAGGATGTATGTGAAGATGTGACTTTTTTTTTTCTTTAAAGAATTGTTTAGATGTAACTTCAGTAAACAGGTAGAGTTTCAAGAATTAATTTTCAGCTGGAAGTTTGACACCAAGGAGCTAATGTCACCAGTTAGAAGAAAACTTAGGACAGAGGAAATATATACTCTGCAGTATTAAAATACAGATTTATATTTAGCATCATTAAATTTCTTTCTCCTTGGGACACATCCATTAACTTGCTATTCAGTGACATGTTGATGTTCATTTTTTTTAAGTTTTTGATTTTTTTCCCTGTAGGTTATTGGTTGTTTTATTATCAGAATCATGCAGTTTAAAAATAATTACTTTCAGTATTTTTCATTGAAAAATTGTAGTGTCTTAATGAAATGAGGTACTTTATAATGAATACTCATGACTTTCAGTGAATGTGCAATAATAAATCATGCTTTCTTTCCTCCAGGCTGACTTGACAGGGATTAAATGGAAACGATACGTTTGGCAAGGCCCAACTTCTGCCCCTATTCTGTTTCCGGTGACAGAAGAAGACCCCATTTTGAGCAGTTTTAGCCGCTGCCTTAAGGCAGATGTACTTGGTGTTTGGCGGCGAGATCAAAGACCTGGAAGACGAGAACTGTGGATATTTTGGTGGGGTGAAGATCCCAGTTTTGCTGACCTTATTCATCATGACTTATCAGGTGAAAGTAACTTACTTCTTACTGATAATGGTACTGTTGTAGAGTTTTCAAAATGTTTGTATTACAAATTAAAGGAGTGTGTGTATGTGTATTTGAGACACTGGTATGAAACCAGACAAAAGATCCGCATCCTGTTTTATCCAACCATGATTGTTTTACTTAAATGTCAATGTGTGGTTAGTTTTTAAACTGAGAGTAATTTTATCCTTTTATCACCCAGCTTCCTTCTTAATTTCTCACAGGTAGTTAGATCCTGAGGCATACATTAACCTCAGGAATATGGAGGGGGGCGGCAGAAAGTTTCTACTAAAATCATGCTTTTGAAGCCAAGTGTAACTCAAACTTTAAGTCAGTTCTACTCATCTTTTTTGCATGATTATACAGATGACTCAGGAGTATCTAGAAATGTAACTTTCTCTTGTGTTCTTTAAAGGCTTATAGTTACTTTGTTATGGTTGTTTGTGATGATGATTTTAATCAGCACATGAAGGCATATGTTAATTTTTTTATTTTTAAAAATGAGTCAGATACTGTTCCATTAAGGATTGTATTAATATGAGACAAGTGCCAACTCTTTTAGCTTTTTTATAGGCTGAGGAAGCATAATCTAAAAGGTTACACAGAAGTAATTTTATTGTGAGCAAATGTTACTTTCCTTTAGACTAAAAGCTACCTTAGAGAAGCTGTAGCTAGCTCTTCATGTTATAACCAAAGTTTGGATTTTATTGTTAGAGTCAGTATTAAATAACTTTGATGATAGGAATATAAATGATTGGTTGTGTTGTATTCCACAAAGTACCAAAGTTTAATAGTGATCCTTGACAGGCAGATTTCTGATTTTTGGTAAAATTTTTTAAAGTGTCCTTACTGTAGTCCAAAGTTCCTGTTACAATCCACTAAATATAACCATCCAAAATAGGGTTTGTTTTATTCTTGGATGAAATATAATCCAGATAGCTGTATATTACACTAGTGCTTTAGACCAACATTATGTAGGAATTTGTGTCTTTGTTTTAATAATTGCTTTTACCTTCTAATGAATGTACTACCTCCTCTGCAGTGTTAATTAGTTTTGAGAGTAATTGTAATTCTTTGTGATAAGGCTTTCCAGTTTTCCTAATATGCTTGCTTAGAGAATCTAGTCCTTAGTTCTAAGTACATAAGAGTTCTGAACTTCTGAAATGTGTTTATATGTGTATATATATTTATGCCTGTATATATAGTGTATGTATGTGTGTGTGTGCACATGTGTAAGGATTTAAAAATCCCTCTAGGTTTTAGAAAGGTGATACTCTCTAAGTGTTGTACCAAAAGCAAAGCCTGCCAACTTACTTTTTCTTTCATTGACTTGGGTATTCTTGAGTAATTTTAATCTGTAAGTGATCATAAGAAAATCACCTTACTGGGGATTTTTGTATAGTTATTTAATTTTGTAGATAAAACTAAAGTGTTCATACAGCTTTACTTTTTGCTAAAACATTATTGATAAAATTGTAATACTGTCCTTGTTAGTTTTGACTATTTTAAGATTTTGAAGAATCTGGAACACTTTTTCCCCTAAGATTCCATGAAATACTGTTTTTAAAAATGAGAAATCATTTTAACAGATGTATATAGTAGTTAGTTTTGCTGTGTTAGGACTAATATTTTTAAACTGAAGAGCCTGTTGGAGATAGATCAGAGCTGTTTTGATGTATGCTAAAATACTATACTGTTTGTTTTACTTTTTGTTAAGTTTTATGTTATCAAACCTGTTTTCTCTGCTGCAGCTTGGTTATGTTTCAAAAAATGTAGTTAACTTTTTTCTTCTAGTTATCTTTAATTTTTAGCATAATTTGTACAAATGGTAGTACATGTGCTTTACAGTAATTATTAATCGTGACTGATAAAGGTAATTTGGGGAGATTAGGTTTTTATTGTCAAACTTTGCTGAATGCTATTGAGTAGGAAATAATTTCTTAAAAGTTATCAAAGTAGAAATGACTGAAATAGTAAACCAAAATAAAATTAAGAGCAGTATGTAATCATGTTCCAAAGCCTCTCCTATAATGTTGTTGTTTGCATAAAGCATAGTTAGTGGTATTTAGATATATAATGTTTTAGCTTTTTTTTTTTTAAAAGAAAGCCTGTCATTTACTTTAGCGTGTTATTAGTTAAATCAGACACATCTTAAAGAATAATAAGGTCTTTTCAGATGGGCTATATTTGTCCTGCCCTTTCCTTTGCTCCAGGGACACCGTCTGCCTCCCTTTTGGGGTAATTAGTCTGCCTCTGTCTCTCTAGCTAACCCCTTTTTCATTCCTTCCCATCTGTGGCACTCTGTTCCCTTCTTTTAATCTCCCCTGAGAAGAGAGCAGCTGGACAGTGGGGGTGGCATCAGCTGCAGGAGGCAGCCCGGAGTTCCAAGTGGAGGTGTAGCACTCAGGGAAGGCGAACCGGAAGGACCCAGGTGGTAGCTGAAAAGCTGGTTAAATTAGCTTGGTCCTGCCCTTCATAGTATCCTGTTTGGTTTTGTGCCTACCATATCTTGTTACTGAAATGTTTGTGATCATGGTGGTAATATTTGCCTACTTTTTTTGTGGTTAGAGAGGAAAGCTATTTCTTTTTATAAAGATTGGAATTTTCTTATTTAGCACAGGTAGTCAGTCACAGAACTACAGAGTGTCTTTACTTAATCCTCTGACCTGCTTGTCATCCATCGTGGTTTTGTTTGTTTAAAAAAAAAACATTTTCTTTTGAAAGGCAAAATTGCAGAGAGAGAGAGAGGTAGAGGCAAAGAGAGCGATATCTCTCATTTGTTGATTCACTGTTCCAAATGGCTCCAGTGGCCAGGGCTGATCCAGGCCAAAGCAGGGAGCTTCACTGGGCATCTTGTATTGGTAAAGGGACCCAAGTACTTGGGCTGTCTTCCACTAATTTCCCAGGCTTATTAGCAGGGAATTGGATCAAAAGTGGAGCAGCAGGGATATAAACTGGTGTCAGTGTCAAGTGATAGCACAGCTTAACCTCTGTGCCATAATGCCAGCCAGCCTCATCCATAGTGTATTTTTTTTTAATTCTTATTTTTTGTTTTACAGTTTTGCAGGCATAGGGCTTCTTCCTTCTCCCACCTGCATTTTTAAAATAAGGTAATAACTAGGATAATGCTAGATTTAGTTTTTTAAAAAGTTGCAAGGTTAGTATGAAGAGTTCCTGTGCACTGTCATTTTGTTTACTATATTGTTAACATGTTTTATAGAATGAATCGTTTTTCTAAGTATTTAATCCGTTATTACTTAAGGTATGTGTATACTTTATTTGGCTGGCCTTTATTTCACCTAACATATTTTTTTTCTCCTGGGAACTCATCCAGGAAACAATATTACATTTAGTTGTGTTGTCTCCTTAGTCTGTGGTAGACTCTGACAGTTTCTAAATAGACAATTATTATTTTGACAGTTCTGAAAAGGCTGGTCAGTTTCATAATGCATTTTAAATAGAATATAAACTTTTTTTTTTTTGGTACAGATTTATTTTTATTTGAAGGGCAGAGTTACAGAGAGAAAGGAGACGGAGAAATAGCTCGACTGGTTGATCCCTCTGTTCATTCATCCGTCAATCCACTGACTTACTCTAATAGGTGTAATGGCTAGAGCTGAGCTAATCTGAAACCAGGAGCCAGGAGCTTCCTCTGAGTCTCCAAAATGAGCGTTTAGGGGTTCGAGCTGTCCTTCACTGCGTTCCAAGGCCATAAGCAAGGAGCTCGATCAGAAATGGAGCAGTTGTGACATAAACCCATGCCTCTATGGTTATGCTGGCACTGTAGATGGAGGGTTAGCCTACTACACCAGGGTGCTGGCCTCTTATCTAACTGTTAATTGATTGGTGAACATCGATTACAATAAACAAGTAAGACTGGGCATAAACTTTAAGCTTTCATTTACTCATCCTGTAGCAGTAGTCAGTATTACTTAGCAAAAGAGTTTGCAAAACCTGATAATTTTGAGTCAGAATTTGCTCTAACTAGTATTAGTCTAATTGCAACATTTGAGAAAGATGTTAATTTAGAAAATCTCTGGCATGTCAGCCAAACATTAATGTGGGTTTTTTGTTGTTGTTTTGTTTTACCTTTTTGCTTTTCTCTATCAGAATGGATAATTTTATGTTGATGTTGTTATTTTAGTTAAAAGAGCAAGCTAGCTCCCACATACTGCTTTACTCCTTAAATGCTTGTAATAGCTGGTGGCGGTCTTGGTCACAGCTAGGAGCTAGGAACTTGATTGCATGTTCTTCCTGGTTGGCAGGTTGAGCCATTCCTGCTGCCTCCCAAGGTCTGCATTAGCATGAAGCTGGAGTCAGGACCTGAAGCGGGTGTTGAATGCAGGCACTGCAATGTGGAATGCAGGCTGTGGGAGCATGTTTTGCTGCTTACAGTATATCCTGCTCTACCCCTAGTTTTGTAGCAAACTGCTTAGTGGTTGTATGCTAGTGGGTATACATGCAAAATTGGTGGTGGGATAATCTTAATGTCTTTGATCAGAAGTCTATATAATAAGGCAAGAATTTGATCTAGTGTTTAAGATACACCCTATGTCAGAGTGTCTTGGTTTGAGTCCTGGCTCTGCTCCTAGTCCTGCTTTCTTCAAGAGTACTCACTCGTAGCAGCATAACTTGAGTCCTGGTTACCCATGTGGAAGGCACCGATCGAGGTCCTCCTGGATTCCACTTGGCCAGGTCTCTGCCTTTAAGGACATTCAGCGAGTGAACCAGTAGGTGGGAGATTACTGTGTCTTTGTCATCTCTCTTCTCAGCTAAATGTATAAATATTTCCATAAAAATCTGTACAGTAAGACTTACTGGTTCTTTTAAGTGTACTGTTTTTGCTTCCATGCAAAAGTTTATTAGTATTGTTCTTGAGAGTTTTCTGTGTATTTTTATTCTGTGTCGAATCTTGAAAATTTTTTCTCTCATTTTTCTTTAAAATAAAAATAAAAGCAGAAACTTTCATTTCCCAACTTTGA